CCTCCTCCTCCTCCTCCCTCCTCCCTCCTCCTCCTCCTCCTCCTCGTCATTGTCGATAGACTTCCTATAAAATTTGCATTAGTTTTAAGACTTATCTGAGTAGAGTTCAAACTCTAGTTATGGCTTTGTGCTTTTCTGAGTTTCTCCTCCTCTTTTGGATGCCTGCCTGTGTTTGTATTTCGCATGCCGTCTTCCCCCGAAGACAACGTCCGGTCATTTTAGCCTAATTTGGCTCACCTTTCTGTCCAGATGCACAGCGAAAATGACCGTGCGTTCTTATTCCTGGGAAGAAGGTAGTTCTGCTATATGCAGTGCTCCAGTTCTAACTCTGTTTTTCTTTCTCCTCTGCTTTTGGATGGATGCCTGTGCAGTGTGCAGTGCTCCACCTCGAACTCTAGCTCTAACTCTGTTTTTTTTCCTCCTTTGCCTTGGAAAAAAGCTTGCAATCTTTGGAAAAACGTATGCATGTGCAGTGCTCCAGAGTTCGAACTCGAGTCTCCAGTTCTGACTCTGTTTTTTTTTACTCCAGAGTTCGAACTCGAGTCTCGAGTTCTGACTCTGTTTTCTTTTCTCCTTTTCTTTTGGATGGGTACATGCGCAGTGCTGCAGTTCGAACTCCACGTTCGAACTCCCAAGTTCGAACTACGAGTTCAAATTTAATCTACTCTTCCTAACTGTGGATGAATGAGAACTGGATTGCGGCCCAATTAGGAAGTAGATTAAAGACACTTTGGAAAAGTTTTTGAGACACTTTGTGGTCTTTTTCTGCTTGCTTGCTTGTGGATGAACACGCCTGTGCAGTTCTAACTCTGTTTTTTTTTTTTTTTTTTTTTTTTTTTTTTTTTTTTTTTTTTTTTTTTTTTTTTTTTTTTTTTTCCTCTGCTTGTGGATGAATGGCTGGTGGGGGATCAACGGCGGGAAACGATTCTTCAGACGGACCCTAACTGGGGTAATTTCTTGTACGATGAAGAGCAGCGGAAGATCATGTTGATCGACTTTGGCGCTGCACGGGACTACCCAAAGCCGTTTGTCGACGATTACCTGCGCATGGTAGGTGTGGTATCAGACTGAGAGATAAGCACCACTAACTTCTGTGGGCCCTCGCTCCACTACGCACCACAAATACAAAAGACAAACACAAAAGACAAACACAAAAGACAAAAGGTATGGCTGTGTAACTTGTAGTGGAAGTCTGGAAGATTCATTCTCATTTTGACAAATTTGGGGAGTGGTGGAGGGAGGCCCTTGGGCACAGCTTGGGGCACAGCCTGGGTGGGGCACAGCTTTGGCACAGGGGGGTGCCATTATCTTCTCGAATACAATTCTATCTAGGTCACAAATTGGGGCCTAATCGAGCTTCTGCACGATGTCTATAAACTTTAAAGTTTAATCTACTTCCTAATTGGGCCGCAATCCAGTTCTCAAAAGTGTCTGAAAATTTGAAAAACCTTTTTATGTACTTCTTCTTAACTCAGGGTCTCCAACACGTGTGACTAATACTGAACCTGGTCAGGCCTGAACCAGCTCTGAACGAAGTTTGAACCTGGTGTTGGAACCATATTGGAACCAGGTTTGAACCTGGTCTGAACCTGGTGTTGGAACCAGGGTTGAACCTGGTCTGAACCTGGTGTTGGAACCAGGTTTGAACCTGGTCTGAACCTCGTGTTGGAACCAGGTTTGAACCTGTTCTGAACCTGGTGTTGGAACCTGGTCTGAACCTGGTGTTGGAACCTGGTCTGAACCTGGTGTTGGAACCATGTTGGAACCAGGTTTGAACCTGGTCTGAACCTGGTGTTGGAACCAGGTTTGAACCTGGTGTTGGAACCAGGTTTGAACCTGTTGTGAACCTGGTGTTGGAACC